GTTTATCGAAAAATATTTTGGTGTGGGCAATTTGTGTTTTTGAATATTCATCGGGTTGAATGGTTAAACCATTAAAATATAATAATTCAACTAGTATCAAACTAAAGGAGAAAATGATTTAAAGTGAAAAAGCAAAACAAATCCATACGTAACAAACACGTCATCAGTAGGTGTTTACGTGAGGCTTCTATATAAGAGTTTGCCACCACTGTAAAACTAATCCAAGATGAGTTTATCACCACAAGAATTAGCAGAGCAAGCCAAAGCGCGCGGGACGCAGTTCTTTAAAGACCAGAAGTTCGCAGAGGCGATTACGGAATACACTGAAGCACTCAAGTACGATTCAAGCAACGGTGTATTGTACTCGAATAGAAGCGCTTGTTACGCTTCGTTGAACGAGTTTGAGAAGGCACTTGAAGACGCTAACAACGCAATTAAGTACAAACCCGGATGGGCTAGAGGGTACTCAAGAAAGGCGTTTGCCTTAGTCAAACTCGAGAAGTATGACGAGGCTGAAAAAGTCTGTGAAGAAGGGTTGAAGATAGAGCCGGACAATGAAGCATTGAAGACAACACAGTCAGAAATATTTAAGATGAATGCTTCAAAGAAGATCACCGAGATGTGGGTCAACTGGAAAGCTAAATTGGCTGCTAACCCAAAGACTGCTGCTTATGTCCAAGACCAAACTTTCTGTGAAAAGATGGAAAGACTCTCAAAGAATCCCAACGAACTCCAAAATGAAATGGGAGACCCCCGAGTCACTGAAGCTTTGATGGCGTTGATGGGCATCGACACATCCAATTTTGAACAACACGAACCAACAAACAAGATGGAAGAAGAACCAAAGAAAGCTGAAGAGCCCAAAAAGGAAGAACCAAAAAAAGAAGAAGTGAAAATGGAGGAAGAAGAAACTCCAGAGGCAAAAGCAAAGAAAGAGGCGTTAGTGGAAAAGCAAAAAGGCAACGAATTTTATAAGAACAAAAAGTTCCAAGAGGCACTGGACTGCTATTCTAAAGCACTTGAACTTGATCCAAAGGAACTCACTTACAAACTTAATAAGACTGCGGCTTACCTTGAGATGGAGAACTATGAACAGTGTATCAAAGAGTGTTTGGAATTACTCGATGAGTACAAAGAGCAAAAAGTGTACACTCAAAGTGCGAAGCTCTACATGAGAATTGGAAACGCCTTCTACAAGCAGAGCAAATTCACAGAAGCGCTGGAGTACTACAAGAAGTCATGCACGGAGAAACGCACAGAAGAGATTTTGAATAAGATCAAAGCGACTGAGAAACAAAAGGAACAGAAGGAAGCGGCGGAGTATTTCTCAGTAGAGAAAGGTGAAGAAGCAAGAGCTAAGGGGTCTCAGTTCTTCAAAGAACAAAACTTCCCAGAAGCTATTAAGTGCTATACTGATGCTATCAAGAGAAATCCTAACGATCACTTGGCCTATTCGAATCGTTGCGCTTCTTACCAGAAGCTTGGCGAACATCCATCTGCTGTTAAAGACGCGGAGATGTGCATCAAGATCAAGCCAGACTTTATCAAAGGGTATAACAGAAAGGCCTTCTCACATTACTGTATGAAGGAATATCATAAGGCTATGTCCGAGTATGAGAATGCACTTAAAATCGATCCAAACAATGCGGAAGCCCTTTCTGGCGTTCAGACCGTCCAAGGCGCAGTCATGGGCAACGACTCAAAAATGAGTGACGAGGAAAGAATGAGCCGCGCAATGGCAGACCCAGAAATCCGGAACATCTTGAATGACCCACTCATGAGAAAGGTTCTCGACGATTTCCAGAACAACCCAGCCGCCGCACAAGACCATTTGAAGGATCCAGAGATTATGAAAAGACTCCAAAAACTGATGGAGGCTGGTATATTAAAAATGAGATAATAACACTCTTTAGTGATTTGTGTTATATATAACAATTTTTGGTTTTGTAGAAAATAGAAAGTAACTTCCCGACTTTTTACTCCGTCAGTTATCGACTTTACAATGTTACATGGTCTAATTTAGTAATAGTATTTTGAATTATAAATCTATAGCTTTGCTGATTGTTGGCATCGACAAAAATACAATTTGAAGGTTTTTGTTTTTAA